CTCATATATCCATTAGCTTTAAATTCAAGAGCCAACAACAATGTGATATAGCTGAATTTTAAAAGTATCTTATCTAAAAAACGTTTTTTGTGCTGAAGACTGTTGAATCATTACACATTGTTGCACCTAAATTCAAACTGACCAATCGGTGCACTGCATCAGGCCACACACGCACACACCCACACACGCACACACCCACACACACACACACACACACACACACACACACATACACACACGCACGCACACACACGCACGCACGCACACACACACACACACACACATACGCACACACACTGTTAACAGCATAGCTACTTTGTTGCTATAATTAGCCAGATGTCCGACCAATCTAGTGACCAATTTTCAAAAAAGCGACTCGCAGAAAAGTCTGGCAACTTTTTGTTAGATTTAGAACAATTGCTTAAGGATCCTTTAAAGATAACCTGGAGAGTAGAAGAAGAATGTGTGCATTCCTGTGTATTACTGTGTTGTTATTCCGTCAGATTTTAATACTGAAGAGGAAAAATATTTGGTAATAACCAAATGCCTTGAGACTCTTTTAAAAGTTAAATGGTGTTTCCTATGGCCCGAATTTCACCACTTTTTCGCCATTTATTCAGAAACAACTTGACCTTTGAGAAAGTTTTGTAATAGCACGCGCGCATGCTGGTTTGGGCCCGATCCGCGGAGCCCTGCGCGACAAGTTACGCACCCAAAATTGAACGGAAACAGGAGAACGATAAGTGAGGGAATAAATATGCAGGAGAGTAATAGGGGTGCCTGCAGCTGGCAGTGGCCCCCCTAAATAGGAGAACAACAGTGACAATGCCTTTGAAAGCATCCTCAAAACTAGAAGGGACAGATGAAATTTAATTGTTTCATTGTTGTTCTAAACATATTTCGGGCTGTATTTACGCATTTTTTGTCTCTCCCACAATGTTGCTCTTCTCCCTTACAGTGTCCATTACAATTATATGACATGGTCAACTGCTCAAATTATGTGATGACGTCAGTCATTGACTTCTAGTGACCTTTAGGAACACTGGCCACAAGCAGATAATATGTACAGCTCCACACAAGTTACATTTTGGAGCATTCCACTTTTATTAAGTTATGTAGATTCACACTCACACTTTGATGATGAAAGTTCCTGTGTGATCTCTTAGGACCCTATTTTCTTCTGTTTTCACCTCATTTAAGATCTGATTGTCTGCTTGGGCCTCATTCATGAAACCTAAGAGCTGATAGACTGTTCTTTGCTTTCCTGATAATTTATGACTGGTTGGACTTTTGCTTTGTGTGATAGATTTACCTGAACAAAAGAAAAACACCCCACAGCAGAGAGGTTCTACTGTGTTCAGACCGATTTGTGCGGAATGTGACAGGGCAGGAACGACTGTAAGAGTTTCTTTTTGAATCTCATCACTGACTGTATTTTTTACCTTTAGGGGAACAGATGAGCTCAGGGATGGAAAACAAAACATCATCTTACAAAACACATTAGGTTAAGGAACACAGCACGTTGGAATTTGAGCTATTTTTAGCTGATGCTTGTTTGTGCTTATGAACCTAACAACAGTTCAGATTACCCACCATTTGGAGTCCTTAGAAGTGGTGCTGGAGAGCTCCCTTGTTCTACTTAGGGACTTCAATAATCTCGTGGCCAATAACAGTGATACCTGGAAGGGTGTGGTTGGGGGGAATAGCCCGGCCCAGGCGTAACTCAAGTATTGTTTAATTGTTTGACCTCTGTGCCCGTCATGGACTGTCCATAACGAACACCATGTTCAGGCATGAGGGTGTCCATATTTGCTTTGGCACCAGGACAACCTTATACCGCAGTTCGATGATCGACTTTGCTGTTGTTAGATCACACTCTTAAGAATCCCCGGTAAGGTCTTTTCAGAGGTTCTGGAGAGGAACCTCTGGATTCGAGGTTAAACCCCGAATCCAGGAAAAGCAGTGTGATTAT